TTGATTTTACCTGCAAACCGAAAGTTTTGTTTGTGGGGGTTATTTTTGAGATGAGACTTTCTCTTAGTTGTTTAATGTCCTCTTTCGTTTGGGTTCCTCTTCCTTTTGGGACAGTGGGAAGTGTTTGAATCCAGTTTGCCTGGTACGGTCATGTCCACGTGGTACTGTCATAGCACCTGGGCTGAGGGCGGGTGTGCGTGCGTGTGTCTGTCTGTGACTCTCTGCTCTGTTCTCCCTTTTAACCTGCGACTGTCGACTGTCAGTCGCTGCTAGAGGCTAGCGTGGCTAGAACAACTTCCTTCCTGCTGTGAGGGCCTGAACGCACCAGAAAGCTGCAGCCCGTGTGCTGCCCCACAGCAATCCCATTGTTCCAGCAGATCCAGACTGTGTGTATCCGTCCCTGCCACGTTCAGAGGCTGCACATTCCAGGCAGCTGCAGCTCGAGTTGTTCACTCTCGTCCTGCGAGGGGCATCGTAGCAAGACCTCCTCCCGATGCAATGGCCTCAGAAAAGTCCGTTTTCTGCAGCATGGAAGACAACTGTTGGTCCGCACAGAAAGCTGCTGTTTCCTCCCAAAGCATCGCCAAGCTGCGCTCTCCTTGTTCTTACTCTCTGAATGTTTAGGAAGTTCATGTACTGCACTTACTCTGGGCCTTTGACGTAAGAGGCCTAGGTTGCACTGACAATCCCGACTGGGCGGGGGAGATGGAGCAGGAGGCAAGCTAGATGAGCCCAGAGCAACTTCTTTGGCCATCTTTTATGGCCTCCAAGACTCCAGAGGACCTCCGTGTTAGTCCCTGGAGTCCTGCTGGCCAGCTCGCACCCTAAGGGCCTGTCCTCTCCGGGACACTCCATCTCATCCAGAAGAAAAAGAAGATGTCCATAGCAAGAGCCCAGGAGACAGAAGGGTCAGGCCCCTCACCAGGGTGAAGCAGCAGCAAGGCTGCCCCCAGCTGCACTCCCAGATGTGAAGAAAGTCCCAAAAGGATGTGTGTCGTGGACCATTTGTCCAGTGTGCCACGCTGCCCGCTTATTTTAAGCAAGCAATAGGCTTGAGCTTTTGCACAGACAGCCAAAACAGCTTCAAATTATTGCTGCTCCTCCAGGAAATATATTCCACTTCTCCACTGTCTTGTGTTCCTAGACCGTGTGTGACAGTGTTTTCAAAGAAAGGAACCTGACCATGGGGCCAACGCAATGCCCAAGGGAAAACAGATTGGAGAACACACTGGGCTGGGTTGGGGGATTAATGGTAAAAAGATAAGGGCCTGCAGATGTTGTTGTGTGGTCTGCTTTATATACTGAGTATTAAATTGGGAGAAAGGCTGATGCTTTAAAAATATGTTCAGCCCAAGACAGTTACTGCTGAGAGACTAACTATTGTGAATAACTGTTAACCACCATGATCCGCAGAAATGGCCGATAAAATTCAATACCATTTTCCTACTTCCCAGGCCTCAAATGAAATGGAACAGCAGGGGAAGCCCTGCTGTTTGGACTTCAGTAACTGTTGGAGGCTGGCAGCGGGGTACCTTGAAGGGTCCAGTCCATGGAGGCTCTAGGAAAGGTGAGGCACTACCTGACCGATCCCTGCGTGCATTGCCAGCCCCTAGCAACAAGAATTGGCCCATCTGAGTCTCTGCAGGGCCCTTCAGGCTTTGACTCCTAAAGGCCATTCGAATTATTCTGCATTATTTGCGCTGGGAAGGTGCTGCTACCGAGCTGCAGAACTTTTGTGGCTGTGGGCCAGCGAGCCAGCAGCTGTGCTTTGGGCATTGCGTCCACAGGCACCCGTTGCTTGATTTGAATGGAGCGAGCTGGAGAGTGCCGTCAGGGGCAGCCCTCTGGATAACAGGAGGCCGCTCTAGGCAGGAAGGCTTTCAGAAGGTGGATGAGAAATCCAGATCCCAGATCTTCTCACCACATCTCCTCCTTTGTTCCTGTGGTCTCACTTGAGTTGCAGGACTGCTGTGTGCCTTTTCTCAAAGAATACAGCGGGCTTTTTATTAGGGATTTGGGTAGAAAACTGGGGAGAGGGGGCATAGAGAGCTCTCTGGAAGACTGTCTTGAGCTGGTTGGTTGAAAGATTATCACAGACCAGGATTACCACACCCCAGCCAATGGTTGGTAATCTCCCCTGTGAGTTAACATCCTTAGCAGGGGGTACAGGAGTGGCTGGAGGAGGGTGTTAACCCAAGGAAGCTGCCAAGAGGGAAGAGTGGCTCAGTGCTAACCGGTCAGGAGGGAGAAGGGCAGGGTGAATGCAGGCAGAGACCCTGCGCAGGGAGGCCGAGGAGGCGCAGCGTCACCACGACTTTCCGTCTGGTAGAGACAGAGTCGCCGCTGGACTTCAAGGCCGTGCTTTTTGCCAGGGACACCATCTTTCTCCTTAGGAAATACTCCCCTCCGTGACACCAACATCCTCACCAGCTGGGGAAGCTGCACCCCTCCCTGAAACGGCTGACAGTTCTCTGGGCAGAGCCAGGCCCCCCGGTGGGCCTGGGAGCCGGCCACTTCTGCCCTTGTCTCTGTGGCTCCCCACGGAGCATTATGGCTGCCCAGGATGGATGGAGAAGCTGCGGAAACAGCTCACACTGCGCTGCCCCTGCTTCCACTTGGCACGAGTCAGAGACTTTTTGCTGGAATTTGTTTTCTTGGTACTGAAGAGAAGGGAGAGTAAGAGCGTTAGGGCTTGAGAGCCTCCCGGAGGGGACGCCAGCTGACAGTCATTTCCTCCCTTGGGCCTCATGAGGTCATCATCTCCTGTGTGCATACTCTGCACCAGTTCTTGCACACCAAATAACCTGCTTTCGAGATGGACGCAGCCACGGGCCCCAAAGGATGTGGACCGGGAGATTCCAGGGACAGCGACCGGCATGGTGCAGATAAGAGGAGAAGGCCCACTGGTTATTAGTGGATGCATGTTAACTTGACCAGGAGTGTCAGGAAACATTTTTAAGTCATTTTCCTTGAGCTGCTTGGGCTATGGTTTATGAAACACGCTGATCCGTCAACATTCCCATCATATTCCATTTGAGCTGATGCAGCAAATCTAGGTAATGATATATATAT